GGAACGGCACCCTGACCTCGGGGTGCATCGGTGGCCGCTCAACCACGGAGCCAGTGGTCCAGTTTTCAGCACCATCTCCGGCGACAGGCCCCTCGCCCCGGGCTCCCTCGGGGCTCCTCGCTGCTCCGGGGACCGCGGGCGGACATCCAGGAGGCGGCGGTGGCGGTCTGGAGCCGCGCAGGTAAGAAGCCTGCAGCCAGGGCGGCACAGCAGCTCTCCCCGTGCCCGCCGCGGAGGGGCTGCAGGCGGGGGTCCTCTCCCCGTCGCTCCCGCAGCAGCCCCCCCGCTCCTGGCTGCGCCTGCAGACACTGCCGTTTCCTGCGCCTGGCCAGGGGCGGCCCCTGCGCCCCAGGGAGCCCCCCACCTGCCCCAGCCTGGCCCCGCCCTCTCAACACTCGGTTGCCCTTTAAAAATGTCTACTGCCCCGCCCACCCAGCATCGCCCAATCCGAGCCTCGCCCCGGTTTAAGGCCGTCTTCCAGGTGTACCGAGCGCCACCGGTGACAGGGTTCAAGAGGGGGCTCCCACCCGGGGCGCGCTCCCTGGCGGGGGGCGAGGCCCGCACCTTAGGGGCGAGCACCCAGGAGACGCCGCCACCAGCGCACCCCGCGTTTCCATTCGAACCGGGGACCCTCTTCCCAGCGGCCCACCCCGTCAGGCCCACAATCCCCCCAAAGCGCCCAGAAGAAGGGGGGAGGCTTGTAGCAGCGGCTCAGGGGTTGAGCATCCACGGATGACCCAGGAGGTCCCGGTTCCGTCCCGCTCAGGGCACAGGCCCGGGTGGCGGGCTCCATCCCCAGCGTGGGGCGTGCAGGGGGCAGCCGGTCCATGACTCTCTCTCGTCGTTGATGTTTCTCTCTCTCTTCCCCCTCCCTTCCCCTCTGAGATCAATAAAAACATAGATAAAAAAATAAAATAAAGCAAACTGGGGGCAGCCCCGAGGGCAAACGCGGTGGATCGGTGACTGGAGTCCCCCTCCCCCCCCCAACCCCGGCGCTCCCCGCTGACCCCGCGGCCCGCTTGTGACGCCTGCGGGCGTGGGTGCCACCCGCCCGGGGAGCCTGGGCGGCGCCACGCGGTTCCCGGCCGCGGCCCGGGGACGGGGGACGGGGGGAGCGGGAAGGCGGCCCAGCGGAGGCGGAGGCTGGCGAGCAGCGCCCGCGAGGCGGCGGCCGGGTGCCTCCCTCCGCGCCCTCCGCGCCCGCCCTCCCGGCCGACCCCGCGCCCCCAGGCCGGCCTCCCGCCGCCGCCCCTCGCCCCTCCTCCTCCTCCCCCGCCCCTTCCGTTTCTCGGGGTAAGGCTGCAGCCTCCCCGGCTCCGCATCCCCGCGTCGGTAGCGCGGTTTCCTCCTGCGCCCTCGCCCGGCGCCACGACTCCCCGCCCTGAGCCTCTGCGCCTCTGCGCCCCGAGCCGGCGGGCGGCGCGCTCCCGATCGCCCGCGGACCGCAGGTGAGTGGTGCGGCCTGGAGGGCTCCTGGGTGCCCGCCCGGCCCGCGATGCCCCACCAGGGCCCTGGGGTCCCTGCAGCGAGGCCGCCGCCCGGCCCGGGAGACCCGGGTCCCTGCAGCCGCCGGGCGGAGGAGCTCGCGGTCCCCGGGCCCTGGTTCTGCGGCCGCCGGGAGAGGTCGAGCGGGAGGACAGGGGAGCGAACCGCCTCTGTTTAACGGGGGAGTCACTCGCGTTTCCAGGGGAGAGGCTGCGAGCGGAGGCCCCGGCTGATCGGCAGGTCGGTGGCGCGGCTGTCAGGCGCCCTGGCCCTCGCGTTGCCCGATGCCCGTGTCCAGGCCCCGGCCCCGGTCCTGACCCCCCGGAGGGTGTCACGGGGACACGACGGGCCTGGGTTTAGGGGAGTCGTGCCCCCGGCTTGCGGTTCTCTGCCTGTGGAAGGCGGTTTGTGCGACGTGCAGCTGGTGGGGCCGGGCCGTGGGTGGAAGAACATAGTTGTCCTGGGCGCGGACGCATCCCGGGCGCTGTCACCACGCAGAGCGCGCGAGCCCCGGGTTAGTGATGCCCCTGCGAGGAAGACGCGTAAGCCAGCAGCCGGGGGTAGGGCCGAGCGTCCACTTTTAAAGCTCGTTTTGAAGCTGGTCCTGAAGTTGCCCACAGGGAGGGGCATCTCATGCAGAAGGACAGCGGGCTGGGCTGCGTGGACGGTCCGCGACCTGCGTCCCTCAGGCCGAAGGAGACGTTTCTGGCCCCTTTCCGCGGTGCGCAGCTTTGAACCCCAAGAAACGCATAGGGACAGGTGCCCCGCAGTGACAGCGGTCGGTGGAAGGATGACAGTGGTCCCCCACCTGCGGTGGACGGCGACCTCATCCTCGCCTTCTAAGCAGGGACTATAGGGGACACAGAGACAATGGAAGTTCATTGTTTCAGTGCATTCGTATTCAGAAGCCCTTTCACTTTAAAAAAATACATATTTTTATTGATTTCAGAGAGGAAGGGGGAGGGAGGGAGAGAAATATCAGTGGTGAGAGAGAATCACTGATCCGCTGCCTCCTGCACGCCCCACACTGGGGATTAAGCCCGTAACCCAGGCCTGTGCCCTGACCCTGACCAGGAATTGAACTCGTTACCTCCTGGTTCATAAGTTGACACTCAACCACTGAGCCATGCCGGCCGGGCCCTCGTAAAGATTTTTTTTAAAATATACAAAGCAGGTGGTACTGTGCTTCCCTTCAAACGCTCCATAGTTACTTGAACAGGCAACACCCTGATTTACAACAACATAGTAAGACCAGCTCCCAGCCACCAGGACAACATGTCCAGTTCAGTGCAAAGGCAGGAAAACCAAACAAAACCCATAACCCCAGTGGTCACTCCAAGCTCCTGATGCCAGGCGGGCCTCAGCGAGGCTGACCACCATCAGGACTGGCCGAGCTCTTTCTTCCAGACCTTCCAGAGAGACTTCCCGGTGAATCTTAGGGTCCTCCCTTCAACGCCCTCCCCCAGGAAGCACACCCAGGACCCCCTCCAGCACGGCCGTGGGTTAGCCCGGCCTCGGACTCGATGTGCTGCTTCTTTAGAGCCTTAGCTTTGCCTGGTTTTGAAGGTCAAATAAATGACATTGCCCAGCACATTTCTCTCGCTGGGCGGCGTGTTTCCCGTGAGGTTCGTCCATGTCGCTGCCCAGGGCAGGAATTCTTTGGTTTTCACTGTTAATTCCGTGTTATTATTGACGGTTATGTGGGCTACTTCTAGGGTTGGGTACTGCCCATGCTGTAATGTCTGTGTCTGCTTTTCATGCACATGTGCATCAGTTTCTGCCCGGCCCGGCCCGGCAAGGGAAGCTAAGCTGCTGGGCCGCGGTGATGCCCATATTCCACACTGCACCTCGTTCCCCAAGGGGCTGTGCCGGTTTGACTGCCAGCAGTGCCTCCTCCCCCACGCTTGGAGTTTTCAGTCTGAAATCCTATTGTGATTTCCAGTTGCGTTTCCCTGATTCCTAAGGAGGTAGGCTCTCTCTCCCTCCGCTTCCCGGTCATCCGCATGCCCGCCTTTGTGAAGAGCTTGTTCAAGTTTCTTGCCCTCGAGCTGACCCTGAGAGGAGAGCGGACGTGCAGTGTAGACGGCAGAGGGAAGGCACGCCGACCAGACGGGACAGCACGTGCAAATGAATGGCGTGTACGGAGTGTGGGAGAACATGGACAGATAGTGGGAAATCAGCTACTACTAGTAAAACGCTAAATTTAATCGGAGCCTGGGCCGTGACGACAGCCATCTCACGCAGATCAGAGTAAGGCAGCGGTTCTCAACCTGTGGGTCGCAAGCCCTTTGGGGGTCGAACGACCCTTTCACAGGGGTTGCCTAAGACCATCGGAAAACACATCTATAATTACATATTGTTTTTGTGATTCATCACTATGCTTTCATTATGTTCAATTTGTAACAATGAAAATACATCCTGCATAGCAGATATTTACATGACGATTCATAACAGTAGCAACATTACAGTGATGAAGTAGCAACGAAAATAATGTTATGGTTGGGGGTCACCACAACATGAGGAACTGTATGAAAGGGTCGCGGCGTGAGGAAGGTTGAGAACCACTGGTTATATATGTGTTTTCTGATGGTCTTGGGTGACCCCTGTGAAAGGGTCGTTCGACCCCAAAGGGGTCCCAACCCACAGGTTGGCGACCCACAGGTTGAGAACCGCTGGAGTAAGGTAACACCCGAAAGTCAGGCAGTTTGACGGCCACACTCTGAAAGCCGAGCAAGGTTTGTTCACGGGAAGGACTGCATCTCCAATGAGCTAAAAGGCGCCAGTGTCCCTCTGGCTGGGGAGCGCGTGGCTGGGGCGTCCTGGAAGCGTCTGCTGGCCAGTCGCACCTCACCAGCCCTGGTCGCTGCGCAAGCTGAGCAGCCCGAGCCCCCACAGATCTCACCTGTGCCCACGCCTGCTCCCCGCCCCTCCTGCCTCCATCCCTCGCCCACTCCCTGAAGCAGCCCTAAGATGGGGCCACGGGGAAGGAGGCCGAGGCCTGGGCGGACCCTCCCGGGCAGGGGGAGCTAAATCCAGCCTTGGGCCAGCCCCTCAGCACCTGCCCCGGAGAGAGGGCACAGACACCTTCGTGTGAGACAGACACCCAGCGGTTTCCTGGGTGCGGCCTTTCCTCTCCAACAGGGCCGCCTACAGCAGCGTCAGGGCCACGCCTAGGCCCTTGGGCTTAGCAGGTGGGAGGAAGGCCGGGTTCTGGAGGCAAACCGTGGAGGGGCTGCTGGAATCCAGGCGGCCTGTGGGCTGCAGAGGCCGTGGTTCTCCAGCGGGAGGGATGCCCACGGGCGCCTGACCCCCTTCCCTGCTCCTAGAGACAGCTGCTCTCTGGCGCTCCCGTCCTCACGCCCCTGTCCCTGCGCAGAGGGCCTGGCCGGCCCTGGCCCACCGCTCTCCACGCACTGGGCACCCCGGGCCCCAGGATCTCCGCACCGTGGCCTGACAGAACATCCCCCAACAGGACAATGGCCCTCCAGATCCCACGGAGGCCTCGCCCGCCTCCTCCACCCGGGGAGTCACCGCTCCCCGAGCCAAGTTTCCGCCCGACGCCCAGAAACTGTGCAATCAGATCTGGCCGCACCAAGGAACTTTGTTCCGGCCGCTCAGAATCACCAGCGGTGCCCAGCCTCTGGGATTTAGTGGGCGAGTGACTATTCCAGAGAGCGGGCAGTGACCATGGACGGCTGCAGGCCTCTGGCTTCCTCACGGAGGGCGTGGGGCTGGGCTCGGTGCTTCTCAGCCGCCGCTGTCACTTGTGGGCTCTGGGCGAAGCTCTGTGCGGGTCCTTTCCCAGAAATGTCTCACTTGACCTCCAGAGTCTCTGCAAGGTGCGTATTCTCTCCATTTCACAGATGAGGAGGGAGGCCCAGAGAGGGCAAGTCAGTTACGTGGTGCCACACAGCTCCTTAATGGCAGGGCCTGGGTTTGATCCCAGGTTTATCGGATCCCAAAGCCTATGCCTCCCCCCCTCTGCTGTTGCTCACACCTGAAGTGCGTGTAAACGATACGGAGATGACTTTTAAACCTCTGGTGTTCGGGCGAGATGATAGGATGGTCAGAAATTAGAAGAGTTTTATCTGTGTAGAGCAGTGGTTCTCAACCTTGGCTGCACATTAGAACCACCTGGGAATCTTTTTAAAATCCTGATTTCTGGGCCTCATCCTCCTGAAATTCTGTTTCTTTGTTGCTAATGTTGTGGTCTCACCCCATAACAAAGAAACAGAATTTCCGGACGATGAGGCCTAGAAATCAGGATTTTAAAAAGAGTCCCAGGTGATTCTAATCATTAGAATGTACAGCCAAGGTTGGGAACCACTGGTATAGAGAGATTGGGCTTTCCGGAAGAGTCTTAAGGGCCTCCCTCCCCACCCCCTTTTCACTGACCTACTTCAGCTCAGTGACCATGTCTCCACCTGGACATGGAAGTCCCACAGAAGCTGGAGACTCTTGCTACTTGACGTTGTGACGGGTGCACATGTGGTCTCTGATGGGAGGATGTGACTTCTTTCGACCTGTGCTGCTCAGAGCCGATTTGAAAGAGGTTGTCACAAAGTAAGGCTGACAGGAGGTGACTTCAGTGTTTGCTGCATCCGTGACGACTGGGCTGCTAGAGAGAGTAGTTCCACGCGGGGAAAGCCGCCTCCCGGAATTAGACTTACTGACCACCTACTCGGGGAAGAGAACCCTGCCGAGCTCACTGCTTGGCCAGAGGAGTGGCTCTGCTGGCGTGCGAAGGTTCTCAGGCCTCTGGGTCAGGAGAAGTGTGTTCCCCTAGAGTTCGTCTGGGGAAGCCCCGAGCCCAGAACTTCAGAAGGCGACTGAATGTGGAGACAGGGCCTTTGGGAAGCAACTCGTTAAGTGGGGCCACGTGAGTGAGCCCTGATCTCCCCGCCTGGTGTCTTTATAAGCAGAGGAGACACACCAGTGCTGTGAGCGCAGCGCAGAGAGGCCACAGCGGGCCACGGCGAGAAGGTGGCCAAGCCCCAGCGAGAGGCTCAGGAGACACCACCCCCAGTGCTTTGGTCCCGGACCTCCGGCCTCCAGATCCGTGAGACGCAGATCCTGGAGTTTAACCGGTGGTGGCATTGTGTTGGGCAGCCCAGGAGCGATGGAAGGGAACTGGGGACTTGGCAGAGCTGAGCCCTCCCTTGCCCGAGGCCCCACAGCCAGAGGCGAGAGAGAGAGAGAGAGAGAGAGAGAGAGAGAGAGAGAGAGAGAGAGAGAGAGAGAGAGAGACGTCAGTAGGTCTGCAGTGAGGCCCAGGATCCGCTGGGAAAGGTTTTCCTGGGAGGACAAGGGAGTCAGGTGTCAAGTAGCGAGTTCCAGTAGTCAGACTAGCAACAGCCGCTAGGTGTGCGCTCCATGCACCTGGGCCAGGGCTCGAACCGAACCTGGGATGTGCCTTGACCGGGAATCAAACCCAGCACCTTCCGGTGGATGGGACGATGCTCCCAGCAACCGCGCCGCCGGGCCAGGGCCAGGAATCAGTCTTAGGCTGTTTTCCTCTCAGCATGATGGCGTGGACACAGTTCCAGGTGACCTGTTCTTCAAGAACGTGCGTCTAAGGACCACACAGTAGTCTATCTCACACGTCACCGTGTTTAAGGTTATTCTCCACTTGCTGCTGTGACCAGCCATCCTTCCTGCCCCGAAGTAGGCTCACTCCACTCCGACTTCCTCACACGCCTTAGGGCAGCCTGGAGCTGCCGGCTGCCCAGGGAGGGCCCGACCGCTCCAGGGCCCTGGTGCGGCCCTGGTGCGTTTCCCTCCGGACCCGGCTGCTTCCCGCCGCTTCTGCAAGGACGTGAGCTTCACAGGCAGCTCCGGCCGCGGCCTCCGCGCACTCTCCTCTTACTACTGTTGAGGCTGGGCATATTTCTCAGGGTGGTGACCCACACTCTTAAGAAAATAGCATTTAAACAATTGGTTTAGCATACGTGTTTAACTCAGCCCAGCCGTGGCAACTACCCATGACCCCCGCCCCTGACGGCTCCTCTGACGGCCAGGGGGGACTTTTAAAAGAGACAGTGAGTGTTTGTGATGATGGCAGAGAACACGGCTGCCCCGCCTGGCCTGCCTTGTGTAACCTGCAGTTACTTAACCCTCCCTAAGCTCCAGCTCCCTCAACTTAAAGGGGCCTGGCAATCCCCCCACCATCGGCACAATAGTGAGAGCGATTACTGACGCTCCCGATCAGACGTGGCTCCTACTGGGGGGGGGGGGGGGGCGGAGGGGGCGCTGCCTGTCCTGCTAGCGATGTGCACCCCGAGGCAGACGTCCTCTCAGCCTGGAAGCCAGAACCCCTCAAGTCCCAGCAACGAGCATGGTCTAGGGCGCTGTGTTCTCTAAACGCCTTCTCGCTGGAAGAGCAGCACAGATAGACACAGTGGGACTTCTTTAGCTGGGGGGGAGGGGGGGAGGGCTGGGAGACTGCCCTGGTCGCTGGCCCGGGCGTGGCCTCAGTCTTGCAGGACACACAGTGCTCACGGGTGCTCGGTGTTTTAGGAAGTTGCCCCAGAACTGGTAGGACACATCCTCTCCAACTCCCCCTCCCCCACGGGTAAAAGCGAGAACCCTGCTTCCATCCCGCAGTGGGCATCCTAGTCCCTGCGAGAACTTGGCCTTCGTCCAGCTCCGTGCCCACGCGCTCACCTGTCTGTCTGCTGGGGGTTCGTACATAGAATGTAGATCCCCATTCAAACGCCTTCTGGCACCGGGAAGCCAATCCTTTGCCTAATGGATTTTTGAGACTAACAATATTTTTTTTAAAGATTTAGAAACCAAGTTCCCGCCCGGCTGGTGTGGCTCAGTGGTTGGGTGTTGACCTAGGAACCAGGGGGTCAGGGTTCGATTCCCTGTCAGGGCACAGGCCCGGGTTGTGGGTTCCATCACCAATGGGGAGTGTGGGGCGTGCAGGAGGCAGCCCATCCACGATTCTCTCTCATCATCGATGTTTCTCTCTCTCTCTCCCTCTCCCTTCCTGTTTCTAAAAACCAATAAAATATACATAAACAAGCAAAAACCAGTTTCCCCGTTGGGTGATGCCCAGTCTTCCCGCTGCAGCAGGACTGGTCTCCGGTGGGGCGGCGGGGGCCGCAGGGGCAGTGGTGGCAGGGGTGCCCCTGGGCTAGTACCTGTTCACTGGTGATTTTCCCCGCGAGCTAGACCTGCAGTGCCCACCCTGCAGCGGCCGGACTGAGGGCATCGCTGCTGAGCCGCCTTCTCTTTCGCACCCGTGTCTCTGCAGCTGCCAGCGGGTGGGCGCCCTCCCGGCCGGGCGGCGGGGCTCAGGGCCCAGCCATGTCCGCCATCCTGCAGGAGCTGCTGCGCGTCTCCGAGAAGGCGGCCCACATCGCCCGCGCCTGCCGCCAGCAGGACGCCCTCTTCCAGCTGCTCATCGAGGAGAAGAAGGGCGGCGAGAAGAACAAGAAGTTCGCCGTGGACTTCAAGACGCTGGCCGACGTGCTGGTGCAGGAAGTCATAAAGCGGCACATGGAGAGCAAGGTAGGCGGGGCCGCGGCCATGGCCTGGACCGCAGGGTGCCTGCCGGGGCTGTGGCTTTGTGAGCACAGCCTCCCGCCCCCTGCCTTTCCCCAGAGGACCAGCACCTCAGATTCAAGTAAACACACACCTCTGGGTCTGACTCCCCTTGTTCTGACTATAATAGTTCTAGAATGTTCACTGCAGAACAGTTTGAAAATACAGGAAAACAAATAAGGAAATAAAAATCCCCCTTCTCAGAGCTAGAGAGGAGCATGTTGGTATAGACCAGTGGTTCTCAACCTTCCTCACGCCGCGACCCTTTAATACAGTTCCTCATGTGGTGGGGACCCCCAACCATAACATTATTTTCGTTGCTAATTCATCAGTGTAATGTTGCCACTGTTATGAATCGTCATGTAAATATCTGATATGCAGGATGTCTTTTCATTGTTACACATTGAACATAATGAAAGCATAGTGATGAATCACAAAAACAATATGTAATTATATATGCGTTTTCCGATGGTCTTAGGCGACCCCTGTGAAAGGGTCGTTCGATGCCCAAAGGGGTCGGGACCCACAGGTTGGCGACCCACAGGTTGAGAACCGCTGGTATAGACCTTCTCACTTATTGAGTTTCTTTTTGAATAAGTAGTACACGTTCTTGGGAAAATAAGCAAATATCATCCCCCCACTCGAGAAAACCACAGCTGTGTTTGGCTACGTGTTGTTAGAATGTTTTTCTTCTATGTGTAGGTGTGTGCATGGCACATATCATTTATTTCAATAGAAATGAGAAAATACTATTTGGTAACTTTAAAAAATGGTTTCATTTATTAAGTCTCACTTTCTGACATAATCGTGTATCTAATGCCTGTAGAGTTCTGGAGACTTATAGTTGCCCTTTATTCTAGTAGAAAAATATTGTTTATAACTATCAATGATTGTGATTCTAGTTATTTTAAACTGATTGGGGGGGGACTGTATTCATAAATAGTAATAACAACAACACTAACAGACACTTATAAATGCTTATTGCATGCCAGACACTGCTCTAAAGGCTTACTTAACTTTTCAACTCTTATAACAATTTTATGAAGAACTAGTAATCCCGGGGAGTGGGTGAGGAAAGACCGGCACAGAGAGGTTAAGTCACTTGCCGGAGGTAACACAGCAAGTGAATGGCCGGGCCAGTTTTGAGCACAGGCCACCTGGCTGCAGAGTCTGTGCTCTTTGCATCACTGTGCGGCCTTCTATATGATCTAATAATTACATATTCAGGAGGACAGACCTTTATGAGAGAAGGCACTATAATACTGGAATAGTTCTCTATGAAATGCTCAAAATATAGGAATCAATAAGAATCATTTCACTCTCTCATCATTGATGTTCCTATCTCTCCCTCTCCCTTCCCCTTTCTCTAAAAATCAATAAAAACATTAAAAAAAAAGAATCATTTAAGTGAATTCCTGACCACAGGAAGGAAGAATCAACAACCCTTTGAAACCGCTACAACAGCGGTTCTCAACCTGTGGGTCGCGACCCCTTTGGCGGTCGAACGACCCTTTCACAAGGGTCGCCTAAGACCATCCTGCATATCAGATATTTACATGACGGTTCACAACAGTAGCAACATGACAGTTATGAAGTAGCAACGAAAATAATTTTATGGTTGGGTCACAACATGAGGAACTGTATTTAAAGGTTGAGAACCACTGCTCTGCAAGCTCCACTTCTCTGTGCCCTGTGATACCTGCCCCAGTGCGCTAAATGGAGCAAGTTCATTTCTGATCCTGATCAAGATAGTTGGTTGTAACTGGATTAGCAATGTACCGACATTAAAATTGATGAGTTAATGTTTGCCCAGAGCGTTATAACAAGTCCAGGCTGGGTTCACGGAGGAGGTAGATGCCGGGACTTGAGGACGGATAAGTGAGGTTCACCTTTGGCGAGAAGAAATAGCTGTGTTTCCTGACTCACTCCCCGCAGCCTCAGGAACAGGCTTTAAGCAGGCGGGGCGCTGGGCCCCAGCCCTGGCTGACACGCCCTGTTCTTCAGAATTGGATGCCAAGCGGTGGTGGGCGTTATTAAGCTGTTGGCCGCCTGCAAATGGCTGAGGGCACATATCTGAAGCATTTCCTTGCCTTCGTTCCCTGAGAACATCACACAGATCAGAATTCAGCACATATGTTGAGGGAAACGTATCTTTACTGGAGAAGCAAAATGTATCTGAAAGCTTCATTTCCTACAAAGATGAGAGAAGATTCTTACTTAGCTCTATATTTTAAAAAATATTTTTTATTGATTTCAGAGAGGAAGGGAGAGGGAGAGAGAGAAACATCAATGATGAGAGAGAATCATTGATCGGCTGCCTCCTGCATGCCCCCTACTGGGGATTGAGCCTGCAACCCAGGTATGTGCCCTTGACTGGAATCGAACCCAGGACCCTTCAGTCCACAGGCTGACGCTCTATCCAAAAGCCAAACCAGCCAGGGCAGCTCTATTTTTTTTTTAATTCTATATTGATGCATAAATTACTGGTTCATAAAATATTCCCCTTGTTTGGTTGTATCTCCTTCCTACCCTGAAGGTGAACGTTACCTCAAATAGGTGCAGAAAACACACTTGAAAATGGGGGTGGGTGGGGGGGGTGGAAAGTAATGTTATCTTCTAACCCAATGGTTCTCAACCTTCCTAACGCCGCGACCCTTTAATACAGTTCATGTTGTGGTGACCCCAATTTCATTGTTACAAATTGAACATAATGAAAGCATAGTGATTCATCACAAAAACAGTATGTAATTATATATGTGTTTTGTGATGGTCCTAGGCGACCCCTGTGAAAGGGTCGTTCGACCCCCAAAGGGGTCGCGACCCACAGGTTGGGAACCGCTGTTCTAACCCCTTCTATCCAGGCTCAAGTAAAACCTGCGGTACTTGATCAATAACGTTAACTTATATAAGTGACGAGGGTGCTATTTAAGAGCAAGAGTTAAAATATTTCCTTTGGAAGCATCCTAATCCTATGGTCCTTAAGGAGATAGATGAAGTTTCTAGAAATACTTCTGCAAACTCACCAGGACAGCAGGCAGCCAGACTTCTCCATGACTTGCACTTTTGATAAGGGCCGAGGAGCCGGAAAGTCTCCGAAAGCTAAGCACTGAGCCACGCGGACTTCACGGTGTTATGCTGAGGTGGGTTTCTGGGATGGTACAGTTCTGAATTTCAGATCTGGTTGTGCTATTTAATTTGAAACAGAAAATGGAAACCTGTTTAGAATTGAACATACGTGTGGGTTTTCCTTTATTGTTCTTGCTTTGGTTTGTTGTCATACCTGCATTCTTCAGTTTCCAGGCTTGGAGGACAAAATTTTTGGAGAAGAATCGAACGAGTTCACTAATGCTCTGGGTAAGTACACAGATCCTGACGTGGTGTTGTAACTGTCAGGGACCATATCCTATTCTAATTTCCAACTTACATCTTAAGTGGATGTTTGGGAGCCTTTCATGTAAACGACAATATATTCAAATGTTAAGCTTCACTCAGAACTTCAGGCCATTTAACTTAGGGAAATGTGGTATCTTAGACGTAAATCTGTGGCATTTAAATAATGGATGACGTAACCTTTTTTAAAAATACATCTTGATTTCAGAGAGGAAGGGAAAGGGAGATAGAAACATCAATGATGAGAGAGAATCAGTGATTGGCTGCCTCCTGCACGCCCCCTACTGGGGATCGAGCCCGAAACCCGGGCATGTGCCCTCGACCTGGGACCCTTCAGTCCGCAGGCCGACACTCTATCCACTGAGCAACACCGGCCAGGGCTTGACTTAACCTTTTGGAAAGTTGAGTGGTCCTTTGGGAATCTAATGGAAGTGACAGATGCCCCAGAAAGATGTGCTTCCTCACAACTGGGCAGACCATCTCAGGTCCACGGTTTAAACTCCAAACCCATCCATGGACCTCGTGCGATTCTGGCCGGGGGCCAGGTCCGGGACCACGGATACGGGTCTGTTGCCCTCACTGCACCCAGGTGCACAGCCTTGCTCCCCCACTCCTCTGTGGTCCTTCCCCCCGACTCCCTTGAGATGCCGCAACTCTGTGTATGTCTTCCCACCAGGGGAAATGATTGTCTTGCGACTGTGCCCGACAGAGGGGGAGACGGCAGAGCTTCTGAGCAAAGTCCTGAACGGGAACCAGCTGGCGGCCGGGGCACTGGCCAAGGTCATTCACGAGGACGTTGCCTTCGCCGACCCGGCCCTGGATTCGGTCCAGGTCACCATTCCTCACGACACTTTGGGAATCTGGGTGGATCCCATAGGTCAGTGGAGGGTTTGCTTTCATCCATTTGTTCTTATTGGTCATTGGTTTTTTTGGTTTGTGTGTGTGTGTGTTTTGTCGGGGGAGAGGGCTTAGAAAAATACCAATTGAGTATAGTTTAACTCTCCTGGAAGTTTAAGCAGTTTTACAGTTTGAAAGGGATCAGGAAGAGTGGGGTGTGTGTTATGACATGTTGTTAGAAGCAGATGTGCATCCGTCACCTGTAACAGACATGCATGCGTGTTTGTGGGTCTGTGTGGGGGCATGCACACACACGCGGGCACACGTGCAGAGCTGAGTTCACTCGTCTTTGAAGGACGCCAGGGTCCAGACTGTAAACATGAGGGAAGAATGAGTGGGAGCAGCTACACGTCACCGGGCACACGGGCCAGTCACGGCACACGGCTCCGGCGGGCACGTGCACGTGGCACCACACGCCAGGCCCTCGGCTTCTCCGAGGGAAACACAAACCCGGTTTCGGTGAGATCTCCCCCTGTCCCACCGCTTCCTGCAAATTCAACGAAACAAGCAGCGAGCACCCGGTGCAGGCAAGCAGAGCCCCGCTAGGGAGGACCCCTGAGCGGGCAGCGTGGAGGGCCTGCGGAAGCTTCCCCCGTAGTATTTCTTTGGGTCATGACTGTGATAGGACCAAAATCTGCAGCTCATTGTTGTTTTTGTGTGTGAGTGTGTCTTTTTTCCCCCCCAATATATTTGTATTGATTCCAGAGAGGAAGGGAGCGAGAGAAAGAGAGGGAAACATCGATGAGAGAGAATCATGGATTGGCTGCCTCCGGCACGCCCCCCACTGAGGATCGAGCCCACAACCCGGGCCTGTGCCCTGACCAGGAATCGAACGGTGACCTCCTGGTTCATAGATTGACGCTCAACCACTGAGCCACACCAACTGGTCTCTTTTGAGGGTTAGAATTGGGGGTGGGGAGGCAGGCACAAACATTCCGACTGTCGCAGTTATTAAATGAGAAGAAAGACATGCTGTAGGACAGTTCACAGATGCATTCATCCTCATTTTCTCCATAATCGCGACCTGAACCCAAACGAGCACGCTTCCCTTTCAGATTCCACGCATCAGTACATCCAAGGCTCTGCCGACGTGGAGCCCAGCCATGGAATCTTCCCCCGGGGGCTCCCGTGCGTCACCATCCTCATCGGCGTCTATGACCTGCGGACGGGGCTGCCCCTGATGGGGGTCATCAACCAGCCTTTCGTGTCGCAGGACCCCGACACCCTCAGGTAGGAGGGGCACTTGGGGTGCGTCACGGTTTGTAGAATTTGCAACCTTAGCTTTGCTTTTTGTCAAGACGGTCACTCCATGTGGCATTCCCAGGACGCGAGATACCGGGCCGTTCCCGCTAGAAGTCTGCATGTTTGAGTTCACGTTCTTTTATTTGGCCTCATTTTATTGGCCCAGTTTGACTGGGGGCTGATAGAAGCTTTGAACAGAAACGGCATGTTGGCAGAGACCTGCTGCATTTGGAAGAAAGCAGTCCTGTTCCCTATTCCTCGAATCCTTTCGAAACCAGATTGATAGCACGGAGCCACCCCTGCTTCTCACGCGTTCGGAATGAGATAGGCGCTGTGGCTATGCAGCCAGTTGAACTGGGACACAATTTTAGAAGAAATTCAAAACCAAAATGGGAAAATTATCCAAGGGAAAGATGAGTAGTTATGGCCAGGATTAGAACCTGCCCCTGGGGTGCTGTCCCTATAAATGTGAGGGCCGCCTCGCTCTCCACCCTCCCCCGACTCCGACAGGGAGTTGGGGTGGGGGGGAAGGGGGCGACGGGTGGCGCCTCCAATTGGCCTGCGCTTTAGGGTCGACTCTAGGGCACAGCAGGGTCCAGGGGGAAGCAAACTGCTTTTCTCCTGGGGGTTCAGTTTTGATTTGTGTTTTCTTTTAAAATCTATTTTTATTGATTTCAGAGAGAGGAAGGGAGAGGGAGAGAGAGAGAGAAACATGAATGATGAGAATCACTCATCAGCTGCCTCCTGCCCGCCCCACACTGGGGATGGGGCCTGCAACCCGGGCCTGTGCCCTGATGGGAATCGAACCCTGACCTCCTGGTCCACAGGCCCACGCTCAGCCACTGAGCCACACTGGCCGGGCGGTTCAGTGTTCGTGCTGAAGTAGGTCAGACTGCTAGTGCAGGACTACACGTTCTTTCTTGAGCTTTGAGTTGCTTGGGCAACTAAGAATTGTTAGCGCTGTAATAGTCATGAACTGCACCTTTGGGATTTTGTCATTTCCCCTCTGCCCCTGCCTTCCTCCACGCGAAATGTGCTTGTTCTCTTTACAAGGTCACGGCGGAATGAAAAAGCGCTGGGCCTGGGTGCAGGCGTAACCCCGGCCTAGACGTGCTTCCCAAGCAGTTAGTGGCACGGACACTGCAGATGGCGCAGGGCACCCAGCACAGACAGGGCTCACAGATCGAGGAAGGACAGGCGCTGTGATTGTTTCTGTTGCCAAAAATAACGCGTCCATCTTTCTTGGCGTTGAAGTCGAGGTGAGCTTTCGAGTAAGCCAGAGAAGAGGGTGAAACAATGAGAAGGAGTTTCCAAGGGAAGGACCATGTGTAAGGATCGTAAACGAGATGCAGGTGGAAAGACAGACGGCCTGTTTGTTCGTCTTTCCCTCTTAAACTTGAGATGCCCACGCGGCAGTAAAGCTCTGCCGTGTTCCTAGGGACCCCGAACCCCACAGATATGTTCGCATCGCCCGGGTCGCCGTGCTGAGGCCCGAGACAGAGCCGCCCCATCAGCAGCCGCGCAGGCAGCTGGGCGGAGAGGTGACTTTCAGAAATGAATGAGCCGCGTGGGGTCTGTTTCTGGGCTGAAGGCACGGAGACTCGTTACGTTAAATATACTTTTTTCACATCGTGGGGTTGAAGGCAACACGAATACTGAAAAGCAAATGTGAGTCCGGCCTGCGTGGCTCAGTGGTTGAGCGTGGCCCTGTGAACCCCGAGGTCGGGTTCGGTCCTGGTCGGGGCGCATGCCGGGTTGTGGGCTCATCCCCAGTGGGGAGCGGGCAGGAGGCAGCCGGCCCAAGATGCTCTCTCATCATGGCCGTTTCTCCCTCCCTCTCCCTCCCTCTCTGAGATCAATACACACATTTACACATTTAAAAAGCGAGTGGGATCTCCGCCTGCGCTCACGGACACCTCTCTCCCGCAGGTGGGAAGGACGGCGCTACTGGGGCCTCTCCTACATGGGCACCAACATCCACTCCCTGCCGCCCCCGGTCTCCGAGCCGCAGGGCGCGCGGACTGGCCACCCCGGCGCCGAGGCCGCGGACACGGGCGCCCAGGCCCAGGGCGCCCACCGGTTCTCCGCCGTCATCAGCGCCAGCGAACAGGAGCCGGTCCGGGCGGCGCTGGCGCGCGTCTGCGGGGGCCGCGTGTTCCGCGCCGCGGGGGCCGGGTACAAGGGCCTGTGCGTGGTCCAGGGCCTCGTGGACCTGTACGTCTTCTCCTACGACACCACCTTCAAGTGGGACTCGTGCGCGCCCCACGCCATCCTGCGGGCCATGGGCGGCGGCATGGTGGACTTCCAGGGCTGCCTGGCCAGGGGCCCCGCCGCGGGCCGGGAGTGGCCGCAGCTGCTGTACCACGTGGGCCACGAAGGCGCCAGTGGCGTGGATCGCTGGGCCAACAGGGGGGGGCTCATCGCGTACAGGTCGCGCCAGCAGCTGGAGACGTTCCTGAGCCTCCTCGCCCCGCACCTGGCGCCTGCGGACGCGCGCGCATAGACAGCCTTCTCCCGCCCATGGAACCAAACTGTGACCCTGGGCCCCGCGCCTGTCGCGGAAGATAGCTTTGTCCTGTGGGTGGTCAGCGTTCATCTCCCTCTCCGGAGGAGTATTTTCCGTTCTGCGTTCATATGATGTTAATTTCTGTAAATAAACGTGGACATGTGGACGCCTGCAGTGGGATTGCGCTGTCGGTGCTGCCTGCAGCCTGTCAGTCAGGCGCCGAATGAAGAGGCGGAGGGAACCCGCCGCTAGTGGCACTGACATCTCAGCCAGCGGCTCTCGGCGCAGGAGGGGCTGCGCGGCGGCTTCTCCCGGGAGTCGCTGGGGCACTCAGACCTGGAAATGATGCATGTGCTTTCTACAGCATCCCTGTCTTAGAATGAGAGCCGGAGCCTCCTCTCCGCACCTCCACACACACACACTCTCACACACTCACACACACACTCACTCACACACACTCACCCACACCCACACTCACACTCACCCACACTCACCCACACTCACACTCACACACACACTCACACACACTCACACACACACACACTCACACACACACTCACTCACACACACACACACTCACCCACACTCACACTCACACACACACTCACACACTCTCACCCACACTCACACACACTCACACACACTCATACACTCACACTCACACTCACACACTCACACACACTCACACACACACTCTCTCACACACTCACACATTCACACACTCACACACACACTCACACACTCTCACACACACACACTCACACACACTCACACACTCGCACGCACACACACTCACACACACACTCACACACTCTCTCACACTCTCACACACACACACTCACACACACTCACACACTCGCACGCACACACACTCTCTCACACTCTCACACACACATGCACACACATGCACACACACACTCTCACACACACACTCATTCACACACACACACACTCACACACACTCTCACACACACACTCACACATACTCACACACACACACTCTCACACACACTCACATGCACACACATGCACACACACACTCACACACACTCATTCACACACACACACACACACTCACACACACTCTCACACACACACACACACTCTCACACACTCACACACACACACTCTCACACTCACACACACTCACGTGCACACACATGCACACACACTCTCACACACACACTCATTCACACACTCACACACACACTCACACACACTCTCACACACACTCACACACACACACACACACTCACACACACACTCTAATACTCGTACCCACACACCGTCCCTCTCTCCACTCCTCTCTCTCCACTCCTCTCCTTGCACACTCTGTTCGGCAGGTGAGGCAGGAGGGACGGAGCAGCGGTTTCTGCCATGATCCCTGTGCCACACTTTGAGCCAGAGGGAGACACAGCACCAGCTGCTTCTGGGCCCTCAGTGCCCGCGGAACCCTGTCCTGGGACCCGAGCCTGCGCCCCCCACCCCGCACCCCACACACATCTGACAACAGAGCATGGTCCTGGAGCACGTGGGAGGCCAGCCTCTGCTCGCCCGCCACACGCCTGGTGACCTCCTCAGCCCTCTGCTCAGCTCTGGACAGCGCCCCCCCCCACCCCCCCAATGACAAGGGATCTTTTCTTAAGCAAAAATGGACATGGATCTTTAAAAAAACAAAACAGACAGCCTTTTCCCGCCTAAAAACCAAATACACATGGTCCTTGGTGAGCTGGCACCCCCCACTGCAGTCCCAGGCTCGCCCTGGTCTCCAGCAGCCTGGAGAGGAGGCAGAGCTGCCCTCCACAGGCCTCCATCTCAGCCCGCGCTCCTGCCACCCTGCGCCCCCTGGCGGCCAAAGTCGATTTCTGCAGCATTTTCTTTTACAACACAAACCAATGAGAAGAACCACCTCTTTCTAACAGTACGTTGTTGCACACAGCAATTTATTTAGTGACAGGGCTATCGTTTCTAGAGCCCGAATTGTGCTCTGTGGTTGACTGTGGACTCTTCCGCTGTACAGGATGGGTAAAAGTAGGTTTACAGTTGTGAGTGTGCAAAACAGAATTTATTCTTGTATTATTTATTAATTATTGTTTGATTTATTCAAATTACAACTGCAAATCTACTTTCCCCCGCTCTGTGTGTTCTCACCATTTAATGTTGAATTTTACAGGTTGGTTTTTAAGTCACTGAGTTCATGCCTCACAAAACACACGATGAAGGAGCAGAAACGGGTCACGCTCCTTCATACGCACCAGAATGGAGAACTGGAACGCGGCTTAGGAAAAAGCCTTTGGTGCCTGGCCGGGCAGCTCAGCTGGTTAGATCATCCTCCTGGTGCACCAAGGCTGCGGGTTCGAGCTCAGGTCAGGGCACAGACAAGAGCCAACCCATGGATGCATCAATATTGGAACAACAAACGGATGTTTCTCTGTCTCCCTCTTGCAAGTCAGTCAGTAAAAGTTTAAGAAAAAGCTCTTGTCCATATGAACATTTTAGAATATGTAAATTATCGATAAAATGCAGTGAAAACAGTCATCTTCGGTGCGATATAAACAGGCAGTTTGTTAACTTACTGGGATGTGGGGGGAGGATGGGGAGCTGGATAGAACAGAGACTCAGATATACTCTGTGAGCATCTCTCACACACTGTCGGCCTCTGCAGGGAGGCCAGGGCTGCCTTTAAGTGCAGCTGCAGGGAGGCCTGCATCGATTCTCTTGCATGACCCACGCCAGCGTGCGTGTGAGCTCTAACTTTCATTTCTTTAGAAAAATATTTGCAAAGTAATCTGAGAGCATAATCATTCTGGATTTAAAAAATTTTCCCTCTGTTTTTACAATTGCCTTATACTCCAGTAATTGTTTAATCATGATATATGTGTGTGTGTGTGTGTGTGTGTGTGTGTGTGTGTGTGTGTGTGTGTATTGATTTTAGACAGGAAGGGAGAGGGAGAGAGAGAAATTTCAATGATGAGAGAAAATCATGGATCGGCTGCCTCCTGCACACCCCCACTGGGGATCGAGCCTACAACCCGGGCATGTGCCCTGACAGGGAATCAAACCATGACCTACTGGTTCATAGGTCGACACCCAACCACTGAGCAACACAGGCCGGCTAATTTTACTTTTTAATTTTTACAGGAGTTATTGGAGGCAAACTGATGACTATGCCGGGGAGCAAGGAAGATGGCCAATGCTCTCTCCTGTAAACTTCCAAGTCTCCACCAGGTGTCCCTAGCAAATTTGCAGTCACCTAGCAGTCATTAAAGGCAAACTACGGCCAAGTTCTTGTCTTGGCTAACTTCTTGCAATGGGTCACTTTTAAACTACATCATCGCATTTTAAACACACCATTTCCCTTAAATAACTCATTCCTTTTATTGTGTTTTAAACTTTCATGACCTGCTTTTTACTGGAAAACATGGGGAAGTAAACAGGAGGAAAACCCACCATCCAAACACCACTGCTGTTGATATTCAGTCAATGTCCCTAAAATTGTCTTTCCTCTAAGCATAACAGAATGAAATGTGAGCCACGGAGTGGGAGGAAATGCTTATAGTCTGGCAAAGGACCTGCATCCAGAAGATACAAAAGACTTCTTCAAGTCAACAAGAAAAAGACAGAAAGCCCAACTGAAAAACGGCCAAAGACTCCTTACAAACGAGAGTATTTAAATGGGAAGGTGGTCAACATCACTAGTCATTGGGGAAATGCATTAAAACCACCTAGGGCAGTGGTCGGCAAACTCGTTAGTCAACAGAGCCAAATATCAACAGTACAACGATTGAAGTTTCTTTTGAGAGCCAAATTTTTTAAACTTAAACTATATAGGTAGGTACATTGTTATTAACTTAATTAGGGTACTCCTAAGGCTTAGGAAGAGCCACACTCAAGGGGCCAAAGAGCCGCATGTGGCTCTCGAGCCACAGTTTGCTGACCACGGACCTGAGGGTACCACTGCCCCTCCCCCACCCCCCAGAATAGCTCAGATCCAATCAATATCATCTTGGTGAAAATTTGGAGCAACAAACAGTCTCTTACAATACTGATGAAAGCGTAAGTTTATATCATTTAGGAAACATCTGGCAATATTTCATAAAGCTGAATATGCTTATTCTACGACCCTTTTCTAGGTATGTACCCAACAGAAATGCATGTATGTATCCATCAAAAGACATGCACAAGACTGTCCACAGCAACACTGTTCACAATAGACAAAACCTAAACACCAAGCAAAGGCTCAGCTGCAGCGGGGTGAGCAGGTGTGTCACGGTCCATGGAAAAGGAAGGAAACCACGTGGGTTCACCTCCCATGCATGATGGTGAGTGAAAGAAGCAACGCACCACCCATACTGTGTGCTTCCGCGTACACGATGCTCAGAACCAAGCCGAACTAATGGAATGAGCCACCGAGGTCCCCTTCAGAAATGTGCTGCTTAGGAAGTGTCTCAGCTGAAGAGAGCTGCCTGGCCCAAGGTGACACCCCTAATCCCGGGCTGGGTATTGGAGCCCTCGCCCCAACGCGGGGGAACTCTGAAGGGTCATGCTAGCGTCCGAGCTCACCATAGGGATAGGTGGAGACGGCAGTTCAGCCCAGCTTCAGCCTCTGCCCAATCAAGTTTCTTTACTCCGTCTTCTCCCCTCCCTTCGCCTTCCCTCCTCTTCTCTCCTCTCCCCCATGGATGGGTCCCAGCTGCCTGGTAACCCTGGAGTCAGCTTCTGTGGGAACCTCCTCTTCCAAGTCAGAGTAGTCATGCTTTTGGGGAGGTAGTGAGTGGAAAAGGGCAGAAGAGAACTTTCAGGGGTGCCAGTATAATGTTCTATATCTTGACGGCAGACACATAAGTGTGTGTACTGTGTAATAGTTCATTTTGTTTACTTACTGTTGGTATGTTCTACTTTAATGAAAACATTTACAATACACCCTGGCCGGTGTGGCTCAGTTGGTTGAACATGGTCTTGAACACGAGTCCCAGTCAGGGCACATGTCCGGGTTGTGGGCTCCATCCCCAGCAGGGGGCGTGCCGGAGGCAGCCAATAGATGATTCTCTCTCTCATGGATGTTTCTCTCTATCCCTCTCCCTTCCTCTCTGAAATCAATAAAAACATATTTTTAAGAGAAAGACCACTATTGGCAGTTTAGATTAAAAAACAACAACATACTAAACTGAAGG